CTTCCAAATTGGCTACAAAAGAAAGAAGTTTAGTTTAAGTTTGTTCATTTAATAGGTTAAAGTTGATGTATATAGGTACTTAGAATAAGGAATAGTCATGAAAAAAAACTAAAAAAAAAAAAGAAAAAGAAATAAAGGAGCTGCAGAAGGTGCAGGTTGATAAGATGCATTAGGAAATGGGCAATGCAAATTACATTACTCTACGGGGAAAGAGAAACAAATACAACACACAGAAACATAGAAAAACCAATTTTTTCTATGGGGAATATTCCATGCCTTCCACAGTATTGTCCCAAATAGAAAATGCATCATAATGAATATCAATTGCAAAGCAAAAGACAAGGAAGAGCTTACAGTAAAGTTCAAAGTCTAAAGGTGTTTTGTGGTTGAGAGGGAAAGATACTATTTTCAGATGATGAAGGAAAAGGGTGTAAACTTCTGGAAATGTTCATTCTTGGCAAAAAAACGAAGTAAAGAATTATTTATTTTTATATATAGGGTGGACTCTCGCCTGCTTAAAAATCCATTTGTTCCTCCTTAAAGCCGGGACTACACCAATCAGAGCCAGATGGCCACTGTACTGAAAATATTTTTTTCTTCTTTCTCTCCTCCTCTCTCGAAGTGTAGGGGCGATCAATCGTTTTAGGAAAATTCTCCATTTCTGCGTCTCACATACATCGATTTGGTCAAGGTGCTTTGCAATCCTCCACTGAGTACAATAAATGAACTCATTCAAATAGGGACGGGGGGGGAGGAAAAAGGCCACTATTTTCTCAGGTGGTCGGAGGTATTTTTACAACGAGGGGAGGTGAGGAGGGGTGCCGGGCAAGGGCGAGGCGGGAGCCCCGACGGGACGGAACATCCTCAAAGGGGCCGGGCCGCCTCTCAGGCACGAACCTCGCGGTCCCTCAGCGAGACCCCGGTTCTCCGCGATGCCCGCAGCCCGGCCCCGCTGCAGAGTTCCCTCCACGGCCGACCCTGTGTGATGGAGTGATGGCGGCCGAGCATCCAGAGGGCTACGGCCACCGCGCCCCCACTTCACCCGGCTTCAGCGGCTCTCGGGACACGGGATTCCCAGGATCCTCACTCTCCTACCCCGTTTCACATGAGCTGCAAGCAAGCACGGTCGTCGGGGAGTGAGCTGGAAAGCGCGTTGTACGCTATGTGCAAACAAGCAGAGATTTTTTAAATTATTTTTTCTTTATACCCTTGGAAACTTGAAAATTCATTTAAACGGGCAGAGGAGCCAAAGTGTTTCTACGGATTTATCTGGAGGGACGAGGTGGTCGGGCAGCCATACGCTTCCACCGAGGTCCAACATGGACTCAGCCCGTGAACCCACAGAGACGAGCTGCTATAGCTCCCCACCACATCGGCGGGTGGAGCACATGAGCATCCTGGATACTTTTAGCATCCCTGGAGAAACGCCTGCCCCGTCTCGTCCCCGTGGATGCCGTCAGGGAAGAGGTGGCTATCGGTGGGATGCCGGGGACACCACGTCCTAGCGGCCTGTGCAGCGGGGTGACCGGCAAACCCACCCCTCGGTCAAAGGATGCCGTCCCCAGGGGAACCGCAGGTCCAGGGTCCCGGGGAGGGAGAGTGCCCCCCCGGCCCCACGCAGAAGTGTGGCGGGACAGGATGAAGTCTGAACCGGCAAACCACGAAAGGAGGCCGGGCAGCCAGAGCTGAAAAGTATCCACGTCAGTCCCAAGCAAAACAAGAGATGAAACATTTCAGGTTATTACGTTCTCCCTTTGAAGCGAACCATTTCCCGCAGATAACACTGTGTAGGTATATTTAGACAGCTCGGCTCGTCCAAGGGGAATGTGTCTTGCGCTATTTGAGAAAAACTCTAAGAGTAAGTGCAAATATTTGATGCTGAAGAGCTCTTAAGGCTAGAAGAGTACCATTTACTTATTTCTACACATCAGTGTGGGCTTAGGATGTTAAATAGATTAAAAGGCTAAGAGAGGTCACTGAAGTAGACTCTCTTTCTCTCATCCTGACTTTTTTTCCTTGCAAAGTTTTTGTACTTTGCTTAGAATGTCCTTGGCAAACTCCTCTTAAGAGCCACCTCAGATACTGTATAAGTTTGTGGCGCTCTGAACTCCGGCCCCCTCCCTTCTGCTAGTCGACCCCCCCGAAACTACGCTCCAGCGCAGGCATCCAGCAAATATTTGCCTGCGGGGTCAAGATATTAATAAGCACTTCTCGGTCGCCTTTTATACCCGGGGTGCTCGGGAGCGCGGGGCAGTGGCGGCGCTGCCAACCGGGCCGGGGCAGGTGAGCGTGGCCGTACCTGGCGGGCGGGGGGGCCGGGCCGGCGCCAACTGCGCCCCTCCCTGCCGGCCATGGGCTGCCCCGGTGGTGACACGGGCAGTAGAGGCCGGACGGGACATAGGGGCAGCCGCGGGAGTAGCCGCTCCGCCGAGGACGGACACGTCGTTTCAATTTAATCTCATTTAAAAAGACGTAACTAATAAATTTGTATGGACGGGGCTGCCGGAGACGTAAAGCAGAGTCGATAGTGGTTCAATCCCATTGAACCCTATTGAAAACCATGACAACAAGGAACAAGCTCCGATTTATCCCGGAGAGTTAAAGCACATTGTGGGAAGGCGTCAATCACCTATTATTCCAGATCTGAACAAATGCAAAATCTTGACTGGAACAAATGCTTCCAACAGGTCCGGGACATAGGGCTACATTTCTCTTTTGTTCACGGCCTAGCAGTTGGCATGTATTTGTGCTCCCCTCGCTCCGACCACCCAGGATGGCTGTGAGGCTGTGCTCGGAGCGGGGAGATAACTACTGTCACCAGGCACGCTTGATAGGTGGCTGCAGTAATCACGGCCTGGGAATCGTTTATATGGAGCCTGTCGAGTCCCGAAGAAATATGCGGGAAGTTGGCCAAATGGAGCCTTGTGCCCCGTTGATCTCGCCCACAAATCTCGCCGAAATAAATCTCACCTCTCCCTTGTCGCTATCGCTTTATTGACATTTTCCCCGAGAACTGTAACTGCTCCCAGAAGCGACACCCGGAGCAGGGCGGGGAGGGGAGGTAGCGGCCGGGGGCAGGCGGGCAGCGGGTCTGGGGGGCGAGAGAGGGGCTGGATAAATATAATCTATACACAATAGCTTATAGACGCCTGTTTGGACAGGGAGATTCGAACCGACAAAGCGGACGGATAGAAAAGTATCTCTGCGTGTATCTGGATTCCTGTTTCAAGGCGCTCAGTGCAGGGTTCGCGCCATCTCCCCGTCGGGGGTGAGCTGTGTGCGCCTCGACCCGCGTTCAAAGGAGGGCTGATCTGTTGGGTGCCTCCTGTCCTCCAGACTTTGCTCCATCCAGCTGGACTCGCGTCCCACTGGTTTTACAGCTGGGCGCTGGGTGCCTCCCGGGAAGCCGGCGGGAAGCTCTGGGGAAGGCCTCTGCGGCGTGCGAGTGGGGAGCGTGTCCCGCCTCCTCCCCCTCCGGCCCCACGGCTTGACCCACGCTGCGCGATCTGCGTGAAGATCGCCCCTATTGGTCACTTCTGCCCCTGCCCTGCGGCTGGGGACCGAGCCCTGACATTGCGGGTTTGAATTTGAACGCCACACCGGGCTGCATGTTTCTGTATCGTATTTTATTGTAAGTCCTCGCAAAGACTGACCGCAGCTTCGCGGGGGGATGGGGACATCCGTTGAAAGGCTGCGAGGAGGCGAAGGCTGCGAGGAGGCTCTTGTCCCCGGGAGCTGCCGTCGGTTGTGCCCGGACCGTGCCGAGCCAGTGTCAGCACCCTCCTCCTGCGGGGCGCCGGTCTCCGGGATCGTTTGCTGCCACTTTTGGCAGATGAAACGGCGGTCGGCAGGGACGGGAGACGCGCAGATAAATGGGCATGCCGTGCTTGATCTTTTCTCCCTCTTCCCAGCTGGAATCGTTTGAGTAACTCACATATCTCGCCCGATGGGATATTCCCTGGGTTAGTACAACACGAAATGATGTTAAAATAAAAGATCTCCCCTACTCCACGTCCCTACTCTTGCTTATGGACAGACTGTGCCAAGCTCCCGTCATCACCCTTCCTGAGAGAAAGGTGCACCTTCCATCTACCATGCCCAGGAGAGTAAAAAAAAAAAAAAAAAACCCAAAAAAAAAAAACAAAAAAAAAAAAAAAAAAAAAAAAAAAAAAAAAAAAAAAAAAAAAAAAAAAAAAAAAAAAAAAAAAAAAAAGAAACCAACCCAGAGGTCCCATTCCTCAATGGGACCATTCCGCCAGCCTTCCTCGCCGAAAGCGCAGCCGAGGTGTGAAAAATGCCCCGTTGAGGGTAGGAAACATGCCAATAACATGAGAGAGAACTAGAGGTAGCACTGCAAACAGCCCAGGGAAATAAAACAAATAACGACTTAAATTCCTTCCAGGTTTAAAGAAAGAGGGGGGGGGAATAAAGAGAGAGAAGCGGGAAGGGGGCTCTCGGCAGGCTCTGCGGATGTCCTGAGAGGATTCACTTTGTCTGCGGATAGAAGGGACGCTGGTGGCTTTGGTGGCGGATGGAGGGGGGTGGTTGTTGGTCATCCACATGCCACCCAAGATGTTATTCACTGCTAACAATTACCATTATCTGTCCCCACTTTTGGCTAATCAGACAGAATATGTAATGATGAAGCCTGTTTCCTGCTGTCTTTGGGAGGTAACGGGTTATTCTCTCATGGGGGTGGCAGAAGAGGGGGGTTACACCTACTCCCATTAGGGCTTTAGCACTTGACTAATTCAGGTACTTAGCATCCTATAGACAGGGACGATTTGAAAGCAGGCAGTGTTTGCAGTGGGGAGGACTGTTTATATAAACAGGACACCTCTGTAAACGACACTAATATTTGGGGTTAGGTGGCGATGGAAAGGAAGGTCCTTTTGAGCCGGGAGATTCCGCAGTAACCAGGCGCGGACCTTTCCTAGCAGCTTTTAAGAAAGGGGGTTCGGTTTGGGGTGATATTTCTTGGGGGGTGTGCACAACCTACCATGGCCACATCCGGCAGGATCAGTTTTACAGTGAGGAGCATTTTGGATTTACCAGAGCAAGATGCTAATAGCATAAAGCAAGCCTCTGAGCATCACCACTCAACGGAGAACTACACCGGCTCGCCGTACCGAGGGTGGATAGAAACAGACAGAAATCACTATCCCTGTGAGTATGAAACGGACAGGAATTTGCCAGCTCCGCATGGTTATTTGTTATTTGTTTCCCCGCTTCCTTTGGGGAAGATGCGAAGAAGCGAATTGCCACTGTAAGTAGCCTACAAGATCAGGGGGATCGAGGCTGGGAATATTATAGAACATTATTGACTTGAAACAATAAAACGTCCCGGCCACGAGCTTAAGAGAGAAAAGATATTTTTTCTGTGAGTCTGTGTATGCCCCCAGCTCTGACAGAAAGCAAAACTTCAGGCTGTATTCACCAGTCTCTCTGTGTTTATCGTTTAAGTCCACTTCCTGGATTATTTTTTCCCCCCGTTTCACTGTTGCAAGAAATCCTGCCTTTTTTGTGCTGGAGGGGTTTCAGGTCAGCCCACGCTCCGCAGAGGAAAGCTGAGCACACACTCCGTGCGTGGACTCCCAGCACTGCGGCGGAGTGCCCTGTGCGCCACCGCCTAGATCCACGCACTTTCCACCGTAGAGGGCAGGCTGCGGTTCGCAAACCCAGATGTGTAGCATATTGATCGCACCTCGCACACATAAATTGTGCCGCAGATATACGGCGTTTATCGTCTACCTCTGTGTGCATCATCAAAAGGAAATCATCCTTTGAATGGGTGCGGGAACTCCATCGGGATAAGTTAAATATTAAGGTAATCGACCGGAGGGAGAAAAGTAGTTATGGAAGGACCGGGCAGCCCCATATTCTGCTTCAGCACGGAGGCAACACGACGGCTAGCAGTCCGCAAGCCCTTAGGCTGTGCGCGGCGGAGGGCTCATGCCCCTGCGGGGATTACTGGCAGGGACACAACACGGTCTGTCCCGTGGGCTAGGTTTAATGTATTTGGAGGGGTTGGCTCACATCTCTTGTTGACTACTGGGATTAATCCGGCCCGGTAAACAGCCAGAGCTCTCCCTGCTAGAGGCGTTTCGGCTCTCAGCGGCCCATCGCTACCTCAATGCCTGCCCCTCTCCCCGGGCCCGACTGCCCCCTCTCTCTAACCCTCTCGCTGTCCCCAGCTTCCGACGAGAGCGGCCCGGAGATGAGCTTGCCCGATTCCACCCAAAGGTCTCTTCCCGTCCGCGGCTCGGAGGCCGAGGAGAAGAAGAAGAAGCGGCGGGTGCTCTTCTCCAAGGCACAGACGCTGGAGCTGGAGCGGCGGTTCCGGCAGCAACGGTACCTCTCGGCTCCGGAGCGGGAGCAACTGGCCCGGCTGCTCAGCCTCACCCCCACGCAGGTGAAGATCTGGTTCCAGAACCACCGCTACAAGATGAAACGGGCTCGCAGCGAAGGTCCCGGCAGTCCCCCGCCGCGCCCGCCCGCCCTGCTGCGCCGGGTGGTGGTACCGGTGCTGGTGCGGGACGGGGAGCCCTGCCGCGGCTGCCCCGCCAGCCCACCGCCACCCACCCCACGGCCCAAGCTGGGCTGCGCCCTGGCGGGATGCAGCGCTCAGGCCGCCCTCGCCCTGCAGGGTTACGGAGCCTGCCCGCCCGCTGCCGCCCTCGGCGTCTTCCCCGCGTACCAGCACTTAGCGCACCCCGCCGTCGTCTCCTGGGGATGGTGACAGCGGCGCTTCGCCCTCTGGGACCGGACTCATCCCACGGGCGCGGGGCGGCCCGCTCCAGACCCAGGCTCTAGCGCGGGGAAGCGCCGAGGCGCGCCGGGGCACCGCGGAGGCCGCGCTCGGGCGGGCCGGGCGGCGGAGCGCGGCTCCGGGGCAGTGGCCCGCGGGCCGGAACGAAGCTGGCCCGGGCCATGCTCCCCTTCTCCGGTCTCGCCCGAGGGCGCGGATGCCGCGTGAGGCGCGAATTTTGTAAAACCTCCGCTCCTCCTGCTCCTTTTCGAGAGATTCCTAGTTACAAAATAATGATCATCCTAGCGACATAGTGTGTTTTAAAATAGCTGACTCTTCCAGCGACTAATAAAACTGGTTTTTGCAATTAATTTTTTCTCTACAGAGAAGAGTAGTTTTGACGATTGGGACTGTTTCGTAGGATTGCCTCCTGTGCTATGAAAGCTTAAATATTGTCTTGATTGCGCCAGCCGAATTTAACTTTCAAGTTCGTTTATTTTATCTACATGCGACGGTAAAGGGCGAATAAAGTTTGCTGTAAGCATCCCACTGTAAGCTTGGTGATAATTCCTACGGGAAGCGTGAGCCCAGCGTCTCCCCGACTTAGCGGCTCTAAAAAAAGACATTGCCGCTTAAAACGCAAAGGCAGCATCCAGAATTAAGCCAATCTTTACGTTAGCCTGTAACCGTTCCAAATATCGACTGTAGCCAAGAGAATTATTCTTTGAAACTCTTTGATGAACTATCGATTTTATTACTTCGGAGTGAAAATAATAAGATAACTGTCCTGGCAACCGCCAAGGGGAAAAGCCCTAAAAAAAGTCCCACAAAGCCAAACCCAGGTCTCTCGGACGGGACCTGCGGATCAGGAACGCAGAGAGAATATTTGGGGCGAAGACCCCGCGGGGTCTGATGCAGACAACCTGCCTGCAGAGGAAAGGCTGTCGAGGAAAAGAGACCCGCAGAAGATATTTGGGTGGATTTTTTTACATTTATTTTTTATTTTATTTCCTGGAAGGAGGTGACTTCGGGCGAGATGTACCCCTGGGATGTGCCGTGCTGTCTACACATGCCGGAGAGCCCGTGGGGAGCAAGGCTGCGAGGCGCCGCCGTCGCGCAGGGAGAGGCGGCCAAAAGCACGTATGGGAACCCGTATGTCCGCGTGTGCTTTTGACCTCCTCCCCCGTCGCGACGGTGGCAGCAATAGGACCCCTTTAGCCTCCCAGCCTAACCTTCCCCAGGGGGCCGCGCCCCCTCCAGGTGGGGCACCTCTAGCCTCAGTGCGGGGGGATCAGACCCAGCTGCAGGACCGGCCGGGGAGAATCCAGGGACGCCGGTCCTCCCACCTGCGTCTCCTTCCGTGCTTGGACAGGGGGCCGTGTGCCAAGAGGGAGGCGCAGAGCGGCCCAACTCTCTGGGATGTGCGGGAAGGACCTGGGGAAACACAGCTTCTGTATCACCTGGGTTTGGTTTTATTGGTTGGTTGGTTGGTTGGTTGGAGGGTTTTGATTTTTGTTGTTGTCTTTCCCTTTATTTTTCCTCCTGTTATCCGAAATCTTTTTTTTTCTTTCTGTCTCAGCTGCTGGCCACCTTGTCTCCCATATGGATGGGGTTATCTTAGAAGAATCTCCCAGAGAATCGCTCCTTAAACCTCCTTTTGTCTTGGGGGTTGAAAAGGGCATTGTTGTGCATGAAAAGGACCTAGACAAAATCCGCACTGTTTCAATTCAGGACTGTTTAATCAGTCCCTAGCGACAATTTTATGGGTTTTAGGCGGTACAATAGCATCTTTTAAAACCTTGTGGCCTTCATGAAAACAAAGGACTTGAATTTTATGGGTTTACAACTCCAATTAGAACAGTGCCAATGTGTATGGGAGATTATCAAATTTGTATCATAAAACCCCTTTATAATAAATAATTACTGGAAACTGGGGAGGGGCGGACTTCAAGCAATGAACTTTGTTTCATGTAGTTTTAAAAATACAGATTCTGCCCTCCATTTTAACTCTTTGCGATCCAGTTATGCAGCTGGATGATTTACAAAAATAGCGTGATATCGTTATTAAAAACGGGGGAAAAAAAGACAACAAGAGAAGTCCGCTCCTCCTCAGCACAAATCTACCCTCGGTCAGCTTGCCGAGTGTTTGTAGCATCCTTTCGGAAGGGTATCTCCCTGCATCTTTGCTTGTCTGGGCTGCTTTCCTATCCGGGAGCCCACACGTGGCCATAGGAAAGCTCTGTAAAACAGGAGGGCTTCATTGAATTACTGCTTTTATCAGTTACTGTTCGTCCTGACAATGACAGAGGATGTCCCTTCCCAGTCCCAGGCTGCAACAATTTCCTCTCGTCACCAGCTGCAGTGTCGTCTGATGCGGTTTTCTTCACGGAAAATGTGCGGTTTGTGAGCATTGCATCTTACCAAGCCCGGGAAAGGTGCGATTCCCGGGCATTGGCAAAGACTAAAGCGGTGCCCTTGCAGGCTGAGCAGAAGTCACTGCAGCAGCGGTGCAGAGAAGATGGTAGTCAGGTTCAAGCATGGAGAAAAGCAGCCCCCTTAATTTGATGCATCCAAGTAGAATGAAGAATGTATTAAATAATGAGACAATTCAATAGACTATGGAGATTTACAGTAAAGAGGAAGTCTTGTGAAGAAGATAGGGTGGGACTCAAAATATTATTTATTCCTGGCAGAAACAAAGTAATCTGTCCAAACTTTTAGTGCATTTAGCAAGGAAAATAGTTCACCTTACCAACGGTTAAGGTGCATCTAGGAGATACTTCCTAAAGGTGTCATTAAAAAGATTTAGGGCAAAAGAAACTTAGCATCTTTCAGTGTATTTTCTGTTACTTTGGCTTGTTTTTTAATAAGGCATCTCAGCTGATGGTTTGGATTATTTTGTCTCCCCCTCAAAGAGGTGAATGTACAGTCTCTGCCTTTTTCCACTGTGTCTCACCGTTACTTTTACCCTGAAAACAGGCCTATGATTTCAGTGAAACTAATGAATAAACATCCCATGATCAAGATCTAAATGCCATCTTCAGCCAATGAAAATTATTGCTAAGATCTTCAAACATCTTCCCGTGTGCTTTATTCTTAGTTGGTAAATAAACTATTGACTTTACAAAGGCCCAGTCCTGTTTCAGTTGTAGCCCCTGGGCGCATGTTTGTTAACTCAGAACTAAAGCATTAAAACAAATAACTAGATCACCTCCAAAAAACGGATAATAGTTCTGAAAGAGCATATGATCAAGCTTCTTTGTAATACTTTATGAATGAACTGTCTCCCAGCCAAAGCACTCCCATCATTAGTCTTTGGATATACACACCATTCATTTTAAAAATTACAACAGATGAAAAACATCACCTCCCAAGCAGAACTCTGCCATGAACCAAATTATCCTGTCCCTGAGTTAGGAAAGGCTCTTGGCAGCCTTGCAATATGCCTATCTTCGCTAATGACCCATCTAGACTGTGTTTTTAACTAAGTGCAAGTCAGGTCTATGGATCTTTGGACTTTTCAGCCCCTCCTGCCTCCTAGCTTTTGAAAGGAGTAAACCTTCCACCCTTGGTTAGAGCCCAGTTGATGCTGAAGGGGAACAGTGAGGTCACTTTGCTTTCAGAAACAGGTGGTGCCCAGCACTATATGTGGAGAAGCATAGACCTGGCTCTCCCTGTACTCAGTGACCTTCACAAGTCACAGTTCATTGTTGAAGATAGTGTCTTACTGGACTTGAATGCCTGATAACTGCTGCTTCTTGAGAAGATGGAAACAGCTAGGATACAAGGAATAGCAGTTTCTGAGCCTTAGTAATGATACTCAGCCTTTTATTCAAAAGCCTAAATAGCGCATTTTCCTTTTCCTCAGCTAGTGCTTCCAACCCTTGACCGCTGGACCAGCCCCATACATACTGGCCATCAGGTAGTGAGCTCTTTCCAGAATTCCTGCCATATCCAAAGAATTACAAAACAAAGACTCCACTCCACCTACTTGACATAAAATTAAAAAATTAGACAAAAAATCAAGTGCCACCAGCATCAGCAGTGGCAGAAGGACCACAGGTACCTCATGCAACTTTCAGGAGGCTTCTGATGCACTGTGCTGGTTTTGACTGGGATAGAGTTAAGTTCCTCACAGTAGGTAGTATGGGGCTGTGTTTCGGATTTGTGCCAAAAATGGTGTTGACAATACAGATTTTTTTTGTTGCTGTTATTGTTGAGCAGTTCTTGTACTACATCAAGGCATTTTGTGCTTTTCATACTGCCCCACCAGCAAGAAGGCTGAGGGTGTGCAAGCATTTGGGAGGAGGCACTGCTGGGACAGGTGACCCCGACTGACCAAATGAATGTCATATGGCATCATGCTCAGCATATGAAGTTATGGGCAGAACAAGGAAGAGGAGATGTTTGGAGTTCTGGAGTTTGTCTTCCCAAGTAACTGTTACATGTGATGGATGGAGCCCTGCCGAACACCCACCTGCCCATGGGAGGTAGTGAATTAATTCCTTGGTTTGCTTTGTTTGCGTGTATGGTTTTTGGTTTCCCAATTAAACTGTCTTTATCTCAACCCATGAGTTTTCTCACTTTCGTCTTTACAATTCGTCTCCCCCATCCCACTGGTGGAGGAGTGAGCAAGTGGCTTCGTGATCCTTAGCTGCTGCCTGGAGCTAAACCATGGAACTCATTTTAGTTAAAAGGGAACTTCCTGTGGGAAAGGAGTCAGTGGATGCACAGTTACCCGTATCAGAGAAGTTGCTTTATGCTCCTCAAGCATAGAGCTCTGCTTAAGAAACGCTCAGGAGTAGAGTAGCTCAGATCAGCTGTAACATTATTATTGTAATTTTAAAAATCATACCACTACAAGATATAACAGGTGTAAGAGATCTTTGCCCACCACTAAGTATGGATTACTGAGCTATGAGATCAGGTTACTTTTCATCATATCCAGGCTTACAATTGCATTCTAAATAGTGAAGGAAATCAGCTCTCTA